AACATGTTCTACTAGCTAGAATGTGATCTGTTTTGGAGAATGACTTCTAACCAGCCAAATAGAATATATATTCTGACTTTGTGGGGTAGAACACTCTGTAACCATCTACTAAGTCCATTTGTTCAAAAGCTTGGTTCAGTTTGAGTATTTTCTTGTTGATTTTTTTTGTCTAGATGATCGGTATGTTTGTGACACTGGGGTATATAAGTACATTTACATTATTTTGTGCAAAATAATTGTAATTAAAGAAAAGTTTAGAAGAAATCATATACAAATATAAAACTAAATGTTGTTATGCAACCTTAAAAATATACCCACTAATACCTATATTTTAAAAATGAACATTTGCTACTAACATGTGTGCTTCAGAAGACATATTTCAGTAAAAGTGAAAGATTTATATGATCTGAAGAGAAACCAGAGTATTATATTTTAGAATGGTTTAGGAAACCAGCTATGAAATTTTAATTCTTCAAATCTTTACAATTCTATTCTCCTGCCCACATGCTCAAAACAAACGCTGAGAGGTAATTTTTTTCCTCTTTGTTGAGATGTCTGGATGTTATTTTTGACATGCTCCTTAAGTTGAATATCTAAAGTTCTTGTTTCTGAAAAACAGTTATTATATTTAACTATCTTTTCTGTATTTACTTAAACACTGAAGACCAGCTTTAGCAAAAAGTAAGTTTGTGTATTTAATTATTTCATGCAGCGTTTCTTTCAACACAGAAAGCCATGTTGGGCCAAAATCCATTACCCTATATTTTAGTCCTAGCTGACTATCTTTAATAATTCTTGCATCCAAATCCCCTACCTCTCTTTTTCTGAGATTCTGTGCTTGTCCTTGACCTCAATGTGAGGTACCCAGCATTTTTAATTCTTTTTTTTCTTTTTCTTTTAATTCCTTTTTATTCTGAGTAGCCACACTGGCAGGTGGTCATGGGTGAAGCCCCCATGATGGGCACCAGTTGCCTGAGACCCATGTATTCAGGTTGCAGTACACACCTGCCCAGTATATGACACAGAACTGAGAAAAAAAAAGTACACTAAGAGACAGAACTAGGAGAGGAATTAGGGCATTAGGACAATCAAAGCTGGTACAACCAACAAAGGAAAGGTACTGGCCAGTCTTAGGAACTGATTTGTATTGGCAATCAATCAGGATAAAGGCAAGCTATATGCAGTTTCTATGAAAATTAATGTAAACAAGGCTTGTAAAAAAAGCAAGATAAAGCATTGTCAACTAGAAAGAGAATAGACAAAATATATGGTTGTAATTGTACCATTGCCTTTCTAGTAAGAAAATGTTAGTCTTGGGAATGAAATTTGAATGCAAATTACTCTGACCTTGGCATGTAGGCTTCAGCCAGAACCACTTCTACAAACAAGCCAATTGTGGGGTTAACTCATTACAGCCTACATGGCTTACAGCCTGCTTTGGGATATGAACAATATTGCAGCCTCTCTTAACTACCTAAGACATATATATATATATGCAATAGTATAGACTTTGTAACTGGTTCTTTTTAGAGATTTGAATTATTATGTATAAAACTGTAGGTCTTGGTTACTGTGCAGGATTCCATTGTCCCAAACACCTATGCGCAAAACCAATGACCGTCAAGTAATAGGTGAGTGGGTTTTCCTCTCCATGTTCTCAAGTAAGTATAGGTTTATGTATGCATAAAAAGTTTAGTTTCCTTCAAAGCTTACCTAACGTATACCTAATATTGGGTTATTATCCAAACATGTTGTTAAGTGCTTATGTTAAAATTACCTGAAGCTCTTTAGTGTAGTCTACAAAGCCTGTTATCCCCAAATGTGCTGGGTTTTCTATAGGTTTGATTTTCTCTTTGTAGCAAATGGTTTAACTGATGCACTGCCTTAGCAGTTACCAATGTATCTGAACCAAGAAACTACATCATCCCCTCCATAAATTCCACAGAAATCTTCCAGATTAAATTCTCAGAAAGAGAAGTCTTTATAATTTTAACCTAATGTTTGAATTCTCCAACTGGAGGAGATATTTATATAGCTATAGGGAAGGATCCTTCAGTGATGAAAAAATGAAATATGGTGCTATTCAGAATGCCAGAACCAGGAAAGAGGTGGCACCTGGAGATCTGGAGGCAGCAGACAGCTTTATTTATATCAGGGGACATGACCAGGATCTTTTAAAGAATTCAGACCCAAAGTATCAGTAGGCCTGCAGCTTCATAGGGGTGTGAGTAAGAGGTACAGACACAGAAGCAGAGTGTTTGGCAGTTTTTGGTTGGTTAGTTATGTGACTTTTTTATGTATATGAGGTTTAATTTTTTGTTAAGATTTTTTTTTTTTTTTTTTGGTACCAGGGATTGAACTCAGGCCCTTGTGCTTGCAAGGCAGGCAGTGGAACCACTGAGCCAAATCCCTGGCAAGATTTAATTTTTTAAATAAATGGGAATAGAGCAAACAGAGTTTACACAAAGCAGATGAGTGGAGGGGGCCAGAGAAAAGAGTTCTGTAGGACTTTCTGAGTCCATTACACTCCCTCGGTGACAGATTACAGAAGTTGTCCTGGCTACTCCAGGACATTTTACAAAGAACACAGTTACCTAGATAACCCATCGTTGTTTAATAACACAGTTAACTCATAGTTGTCCAATTTAGTTATTTTTTTTTGTTTGAAATATATTTGTATGGCCAGAAATTCCCTTTCAGAGCCAGGACGATGTGTGATAATGCTCTTGGAAGTGTTTTAACAACAAGGAAGATAAAGAAAGATTATTGATTTAGGGCCACAAAAGGAGGTGGAAATTTTCATTCTTCAGGAAGTTATGCATTAGTCCATTCTCTTAGAATTCTTGCATTGTTGACATTTGTGATAGTGACCTCTTACTGTCTACACCTACCTTAAAAACAGTGAAATAAACTATGTTAGAAGCCCAAGACCCTTAGTGATAACGGATCCATGATCACTGCAAAATTCATCCTACTATTTTCAGAGGATGAAAAAAATAAACAAGAGCCCACTTCTTGTGACAAAAGAAGTAATTGTAATTAGATATTAGAAAGCAGTCAAATATACATTATTTTACTCTAAAATATTAGGTGAAATTTCTATGACATAAATAATTCAAAGTAAGTATACATCAATATAACTGCTACCTACACATTAATTAATTTGATGGTTTATAAGCAGATAACATTGTTATGATACCTTTATAATCCAGGCGTTCACTCATTCTGTGAATCTATAACCTCCCTCCTTGGTGAATTTAAGTTTTCAATCATAATTTTTCTCTTTTGAACATTATATGATGGATAGCATCTGTCCTATCTTTGGTGGAATTCAAATGTGGATGGACATGTGCTTGTTCAGTGTAGTCTGCCACAGAACATCACTGATCAAAAGATGTGAGCCTAGGGTAGGAGGGGTGAAGGGAGGGCAGGGACAAGGGGAAAAAATGAGAACCAAGGCCTGTCATGTAGAGGTCCAAGATCCCAAGGATGAACGTAACTGTGCTGTATCCCTAAAAGGTACCAATAAACTCAATTAAAAAATAATCATTGTAGACAGATCTTCTCAATCTTTAATCTTTACTTCTTAAGTTACACATCCTGTTTAAGGTAGAGGCAGCAGTTTTCACCCCTCTGACCATAGTGATCTACTTGGGACTCCTAAGGGTAGAGCACAGTAACAAATGGGTCCTTGCTGGAGAGACAGGAAAGGGAAATGGAGGCTCGGATTGACAAAGGGACTAGATGTCAGCATCTGCCTGGTAAAATGCCTTGGGTGTGCTATCAGACAGCCGCCTGCAAACATTTCTTCACTGGTTTCTTTGCAACAAATTCTAACTAATTACACAGAACGCAGCACGCATACTTTCTTTTAAAATCATAATATAGGAGCTTTTCCTCAGAAATATTGTGCACATAAAATGAAACAAATTACATAGAATACATAAGTTAGATGCTGCCATGAAGGAAATCTTCAGTTATTGCTTCGCGGTGTTGGGATTTTCATCCTCGACCTCGTCCTGCTCTTCTCCACCATAATCCCTTGAGATGGGGAGGAGATAGTTTACTTAAACCCATAGCGTTCTATCACGGGTTAGACGTCTGTGAGAAGCAGGACCGTGTGTGACAAAAGCAAAGCACTGACTGAGATTTTGGATCCCCCCCAAGCATTCAGGCACCTACAATTCATAGTCCTCTGATCTGAAACTGTGCACAATTGCATCCCCCCATCTCTGCCCAAACTTTCAAGTATGGCTTCGTGATGAAAATTATTATTTCCAACAGTCCCACCTCCATCTATTGCTTTTTGAACTAGGATGTGTTTAGTACAGATGTCCAAAGATATCCCAGACTCCCCATCTCCCAGAAACCAGAAAAAAACAAAAACCAGAAAAATTCAAGGACAGGCCAGAGGATTCTTATGGGCAACATCAAATGTGGATTCGATATCTCCATGCACACGGCTTATAACTATTTATATTGATCCATATTATTCCAATCTTGAAATGTCTGGGATTCAGTGAAAGTTAAACAAAATAAACGTCAGAAAAAATGTTGGCCTCTTCTTTTACGCTCCGTAAGTCTTAAGCGTATTATTGTCTTTGTTAATTTTTTTCTTTTTAAAACAAATCATAAGCTTTTAATTTCCATTGTTCAATGTGGAAAGATAATTTTATGTAAAGGTACCATTTTAAGCAATTTTAGATGCAGAGTTTGGTTACATATATTGTAATATTTCGGTGCAACTGTCACTCCTGCCCATCCCCAGAAATATCACCTTCCCAATTTAAAATGGAATCTATATGAGGAACACTAAATACTACCTCTTAAACTCCCTTGATTCTATAATGAAACATCATATAAAGCTAAAGACACCCAGCTTCAGAAATTATAAAACCAAGGAGAAAGTATTTATACATAAGTTTTGGATTTTCTTTTTTCCCCCCACATTTTCTAAACCACATTCCAAATAAATGGCAAAGGTCCTGGGATTAGATTTTTCAAAGGTGGAGCCAATTCAGTGTGCTAAGAATCTCCCTGTTCTTCAGGCTGTAGATGAAGGGATTCAGCATCGGGGTGATCACAGTGCACATCAGTGAGGCCACCATGCTCTGGATGGGAGAATATGATCGATTTGAACTAAGATACGTTCCAAAGCTTGTTCCATAAAATAAGCAAACAACGGATAGGTGAGAACCGCAGGTAGAAAAGGTTTTGTACCTCCCTTCAGATGATGGGATTTTCAGAATGGTGGAAACAATTTTATAGTAGGAGAAAATGATCCCTGATATGGGAAAAACACCAAATAGGACACCAACCATATATGTGACTATGTTTTTGATTAAGATATCAGAACACGAAAGGTCAAGGAGTCTAGAAGGGTCACAAAAGTAACTAGCAATTTCTACATCTCTGAAACAGATAATGTGTAATGCAGCTAAATTGTGTGCCTGAGAATCAAAAAGGCTAATTAAGACTGACAGCAAAAGTAATAACACACAGCATCGAGGGTTCATGATGATTGCATAATGCAGGGGGTGGCAGATGGCCACAAAACGGTCATAGGCCATCACAGTCAGAAGCATGAAATCCATACATGCAAAAAGGATAAGAAAAGACATCTGTGTGAGGCAGCCCTCATAGGAGATGAACCTCCTGTGAGTTGAGACGTCCACAATCATCTTTGGGACTGTGGTCGAGATGAAACCGATGTCAGCCAAGGACAAGTTGGAGAGGAAGAAGTACATGGGGGTGTGGAGGTGGGAGTCAGAGCTGACGGCCAGGATGATGAGCAGGTTCCCGAGCACTGTGACCAGGTACATGGACAGGAACAGTCCGAAGAGGACGGGCTGCAGGTCTGGGTCCTCTGAGAACCTCATGAGGTAGAACTCTGAGACCTTTGTGAGGTTATGTCTTTCCATGTTGCTTGAACATGTTTCAATAAATTTCATTGAAAAAATGAAACAAAAATATCACACAACACTCTGTATATTTTCTGAGTTCGAGTATTCATAAGCAAAGAATTCCCACCCATGATGCACAACCTTCAGCACCGTTGCTCTCTTGTGATAAATCCTACCATTAAGGCCTCTGTGTTTGGTAGTTTCTTTTCCACCTCCTCCATATACACTTAATTTACTGATGCTCTACTGCATAGTGTAAGCAAAACAATGACATAGATTTCTGAAGTCCTTGATCACAGTAAAATGTGGTAAACTTTTTTCCAAAAAGTATACAAAGTAGTTAGGCCATCTCCCTTTAAGAAAATATAATTCTACAGGAAGAAAATGGAAAAGTGTTGAAATATTCCATATTTTATACTGTTAAGATGCTATATATTTACTTAAGTAAGCTGTCTACAAGTACTATAAAGTCTGAGACTACATTATCTGAAAAATTAATTCTCTTCAATCAGAACACGTTTTTAGCCATTGTACTAAAAAATAATGAATTTTTCATTTTTCCTGTTTTTTATTCTGATTTCATCTTTTAAGGATGTCAAGATCTTACCCAGCCTTTGTATATAAATTGTGCATACATTTTGTTTGTGAATAAATTATTCAATATGAAACTTTTATCCTTGTATTTGTTGCATTCAAATTTATATATCACAAAGCTTGGCATGGTGGCACAATCTGTAATCAATCCCAGCATGTGGGAGGCTGAGACAGGAGGATTGCTGTGAGTTCGAGACCAGCCTGGGCTACATAGTAAGTTCCAGGTCAGTCTCAACTACATTGTGAGCCAGGGTCACACTAAAAACAAAAAAACAAAAAATAAATGTGAGCCAGGGTCACACTAAAAACAAAAAAACAAAAAATAAAACAAACAAACAAAAAATATATATAATCACAGTTTCAGATACATAATCTTCAGACATAATTACCCAAATGTAGATTGCTGTGCACTGCAATTGTTAGTACAAACAGTAAATGATAAGAAGCACCTTTGCCTTTCAATATTTTTACAGGTGTATGTAATCATACAGTATCAGTGAACTACCTGCTAGATAAGACATTTCTTTTCTGACTCTGTAGTCTACCATAGCTTGATAATATGCAGGACTGCTATTCTGATCATAAACCCTCTGGTAACCAGTTGATGGCTATGGAAACAAACACAAAAGGCCCTGGCTGAGTCCCAGCCTTGCTAATTCTAACCAACAGATTTTCACATCAATGTCTCCTGATGTATGAGTTACATTTTATCTCAGCTATGTGATGGGAACTGAGACCCATAATTTCATCTTGTCATTCTGGGAGAAACCCAAAATAGTACACGAAAAATTGTAAGCACACCTTTAAAACTCAGCTGAAACAGAAAAATGGAATCTTTTCAACACATATGCAAATAACGTACTCCCCCCATCTGTAAAATGGGGATAAGAATTACCTACCTTATGTTGATGCTGTAAGAAAATTTTGAAAATCATTTAATTTGCATCATTGTTGATTCTAATTTAGGAATACATTTATCTGGAAATACCATCATATCTTTAGGCTTAGCCTAAAAGAATATTCACATTTCAAATTTTTGAGTCACTTTCTCAAATAAGAGTTGAGAAACACTGAGGATATTTGCTGGCATTTAGAAAATTTTCCGTTCATACTATCTCTATAGATAAAAATACTTAATAATATTGACTACCTCATTCATATTATTTAGGCATCTGTACAATTATCTAAAATTTTAAGTGCTTTCTATCATTACTCCTGCTCTCCTGTCCTCAAAGAATTTGTTGTTAGAAATTTTATGGGTAGATTTTCCTTTGGAATGTTTCCAGATCAACACGGATTTATGAATTCACAATTTCCTAAAACTTTACCTTAAAGGGACCTAAAGCTCATCTAAATAGTGTGATTTAGAAGATTTGTTGCCCCCCCCAGATAGACTATGTAATATCCCCAGGTAGTTGTTTTAGATCTTCTTCAAACAAGTCATAGCCTTATCACAGATGAGGGAGAGGGAGGGATGGAGGGAAGAAACGAGAGAGAGAGAGAGAGAGAGAGAGGCCTTATTTACATTTTAAGTTAATTATTATGGTAATGTTATCAAAATTGTTGTCCTTTATCACTTATTTTAAAATTGTTTTATAATATTTTCTTGATAATTTTCTGATTTCAGACTAATAATGCACATACATTTTTATTTTTTATATTCCAGGGGTATATTTCTGATTTCCAACAAGTAATGCATGTAAAATTTCAATTGTTTTTGCCAGAACAGGTGACTCAGTTTTCCACACATCCTCTTACCAGTCAGATAAAGCTTCTAAATATGCCTGTCATCTTTCCAGTAATGCTCTCTTTATGATACCATACAAAGAAATTTCATCGTTACACGAGGAATAACATTTTAATTTTGCTTTAGTTCTGGAGCCTGTGCCAAGGAGTGACATTGAAGATAAGAGATATGAGCATCTTAGTTATGCATCACTGACCTCTCACTGAGGGCAGAATGTGTGTGAATCTCTCTTCCTCTCTGTGCTCATAATGCTGGAAGAAAACAAGGAGAATTGTCTTCATCCACATGTGCAGCAATAAAGAACATTAGAATCTAACTATTTAGAAATTTTGAGATTTCTTAGTTTCAGTTGCATTAATTTCTTCTGTGACTTTTATAATTTTGCTCCCTTGTATGAGCTTTAGACTTTATTTGTTCTTCTTTTCCTAGAAGTTTCAGGTTCAACATTAGGTTGTCTACTTGAGCTCACTGTGTTTTCCAAAAGTGAGAATTCACTGCTATAAATTTTCCTTGTAGGACTGCCTTCATTGCTTCCCGTGATTTTTTTTAAATAAAGATGTACACCATTAAGGAAGTAGGAAGTTTATTTTGTAAACTGCATTCAAATGGCACTAGAGCCTCAAATAGTATGAAGTTTTTAAATCTACCTAAGCTTGAGGCATACAGTCACCCACTCCCTTCTCTCTGTGCCATTAACAAAACATGAATACTCTGATGTGTTTCATTTTTAAATAACGTAGAGATACAGTTAAGTGAATTATAGGGTCCATGTGTCCATGACACAGAGAAAAAAAAAGAATAAAGTATTTTGTCTTGTCTCTTCATCTATGGATAATTTGTGAAAGGAATGGAGCAACAGACAGTAAGGTACTAAGCATCTTCACATCATGCTGATTAAGGATAGTTTTTGCAGTGCAAGAGATATCACCAACAGAGCTAAGATACAACCCACAATGTGGGGGGAAAAGTGTTCACCAGCCACTCCTCAGACAAAGGACTACTATCTAGAATATATAAAGAACTCAAAAAAATCAGACCCCCCAAATATAAAAAATGGGCATCTGAAATGAACAGACATTTCTCAGACAAAGAAGTAAAAGCAGCAAATAAATGTATGAAAAAATGTTCCACATCACTGGTCATTCGAGAGATGCAGATGAAAACAACACTGAGAGTCCACCTCACCCCACAAAGAATGGCTGCTATCAAAAGATCAACCAATAACAAATGTTGGCGGGGCTGTGGGGAGAAAGGAACCCTTCTCCATTGTTGGTGGGAGTGCAGACTGGTGCAACCACTGTGGAAATCAATATGGAGATACCTCAAAAAGTTCTTTCCAAAAGAACTAAAAGAATCATACCACAGTGATATATTTGGACCCATGTTTATAGCGTCACAGTTCCTAATAGCTAAAACTTGAAAAGAGCCCAATTGCTCATCAGTTGATGACTGGATAAAGAAGATGGGGTTTTTCTCTAAAATGGAGCACTCCTGAGACATAAAGAATGAGAAACTAGAAACATTTATAGCTCAACAGATGCTCATTGAGGCTATACTCAAGTGAAATAAATAGGACACAGTTGAGTAAATACTGAATCATTTCTCTGGTGTGCAAAATTAAAATAATAAATAAGGTTCAAATGGTATAATTGGGAGAGTGAAAATGGCTAAAGGGGAAGTGGGAAGGGGAGGGGAAAGGAAATAAGGGAAAAGAAAAATGTGAAAAAATGAAAAAAATGCAAACAAAGTGTTTGTAAATAGGGAAGGTTAAACAGAGTGAAGGGGGCATGGGGAAAAAGCAAGAACCAAGATATATCACGTAAAGGTACAAGATCCCAATGGTAAATGTCACTGTATTGTTTGCTTTGAATGTACCAATAAACTTAATATGAAAAAGAAGAAGTATTATGATTTATGGAAGAGTCCATTCGGTGTTGAACAGAGGTTTATATTTTTGATGTCTCTTCCATGCCAAAAAAGGTATAGGTCTGGGAAATTAAGTGTAAAGAAATGTACATCGTTCCTCTCTAAACATATGTGTACAATTACACAAACACGAACAAAATGTCCTGCAACAGAAATAGGAAAGGAGTAACTACAGGACCCATGAGACAACGGCTAAGAATATACTTATCTGATATTTATGATAGCTAAAATTTAATTTGCTCTAATTTTCTGCACATTAACACTAAATAAAGCACTCCTTACCTGCACAATCCTTAGCGAAGTTACTTCAAGCAAAACTAACATTAATGACAATGCTTTCTCAGATATATCAAAAACCTCCCCTGGAGCATGGAAATAATAAGTGGAACTGAAAAGATTTAAAAAATTGACACCAGGCGATTTAGCTCAGTGGTTCCACTGCCTGTCTCACAAGCACAAGGACCTGAGTTCAATCCCTAGTACCAAAAAAAAAAAAAATTGACAGTACTATCTGCTACACTAAAATTTTTCAGTTTCCAGTCCATGGAAGGATTTGTGCAGAGGTTAAGAGGTGACAGTCACAGGTACTTTAGAGGCACATTTGCAACTCAAGATAAATGAAATCAAGACATGACTTTTCCACATTTGCCTTGGTGGGAAATAAACACAAGCTTGGAGAAGGGTATGGGAAGCTTAAAAATATCCTACAGTGGTGGAAGGAGAGAGATCTCTGTTGAATGCTCAAGAGAGCACTCTCTCAGATGTTTGCCCATCATCCACA